GCTACACTCTTCTCATCTGTGCCATATTAGTAATAACTGAGACTGGCAGCACTGTCTGTAGTAATGCTACACTCTTACCATCTGTGCCATATTAGTAATAACTGAGACTGGCAGCACTCTCTGTAGTAATGCTACACTCTTACCATCTGTGCCATATTAGTAATAACTGAGACTGGCAGCACTCTCTGTAGTAATGCTACACTCTTACCGTCTGTAGGTGTCTTATGAGGATGTGGAGCGGCTCCGGCGCCTGGCCGTCCTGCAAAAAACCAGAATCCCTCATTTCATGCGGGACCAGGAGCGATACCTGCAGCAGCTGGACCACATCGTGACGGTCAATGAGCTGGTTGACGACGAGCTCCAGGAGCTCATCCCCTGATTGGCCGGGCGCGGCCCACGGACCCAGCGCACCGGCAGCCAGGCCTGCACCTGGTTTCCTTTACCCAGCAGTATTACGAACATGGCTCAGTACCACGTGCTCATCTGGACACCTGAGCTGCATTGCATGCTGGGAAAAAAACATTTCCTCGCAAGTGTCCTGACAAAGAACACCCGATTACCTCGGACGCTGTACCTCAGCTTGGCAAAGCCCCATCCCTAATCACAGGAACATACATCCAGTGCCGTTGTGTCAAACCCAAGAACTGCAACTCTTGTTTGGGATTGCATTTTAAATTTTTAACTGTCCATAATTACATCTGCATTTATGCAAGTATTTATTTTTATTTATTAATGTGATTTGTTAAAAAAAAATACAATTGAAAAGACACTGGCTTTAACCCTACTCTTTCTGAAATGAATTAATTAAAAGCCTTAGATTATCCTGTAGTGTTAAAACCTGTTTAACAGCATGTGGAATCCCAGCCTGTTTTCATGAGAGGCTTAACTTTTCTGTCCATTGTAGTTAGTTCAATTCATGTTTGAATGTTTTAATGGTGCTTAACTTCATCTGTCCTGTTGGTTATCGTGTGGTGCGGTTACATTGTGGAACTGAGCAAGAATTTTATGCCTTAAAGACGCCCTTGAAGAATCAAGACACTAGCAGCACCTTGCAGGAATGTTGACAGGGCTAGGTCAGCATTGAGAAACGCTGGTGAGCTAGGAATGGAAGGTGAGAACTTCATAGGGATGGAAATTGGATGGAAAGCAAGTGAGAGGAGAAAGGAGTGAGATACATAGAGAATAAGTAGCAGTATAGGTTAGAAGTGAACCTTGTAGGAGGTTAGTCAGAAGGCTTGGTTAATGAAGTAGGAAGGGCAGATTGCGGACACTCCTTTAGCATAGCATGTGGGCCACGTAGAGGTAGACAGAGCTACAGGTTTCAGCAAGAAGAGCATGTGTTGGTTAGAAGTTCAGTAGATACAATCCTTGATTTGTAGCTACTCCATACTTGTATTTTCAAAGCCGATGGTTATAATAGTGTTGAAGTAGTCCTTCGGTGAAGAAAGGAAATGGAATATACTTTCCTGATGATTCCACATGATGTGATCAACGGGGATCTATTACTGCAATGGTGTAGTGCTGATGGGATGCATAGAGGAAGCAGGAACATTTCAGGATGAGAGTTGAGAGTCCAGCTGTAAAGTTTAGTCTCCCCCCTGTTTTGGGGAGAGCGCTTTGTAACGCCTATGACTAACCCCAGGTGTATGCCTGCCCAACGTGGCCGTTTGTAATCATATATCTTTGGTGCTTTACGCCTATCCTTCATTTTGCTCCTTTTCTCCCACTTTCTCTTCCATCTGCTGTCATCTCCCTTAATCTTTCTACTTGCCATCTGCAGACGGTTCTCAGAAGTGTCAGGATGACAGCAGGTTAATTTGGTGCGCATTGGCGACGTTAAATTCAAGCTTTCTGATCATGTGGGGGGGGGGAGCGGCCAGAGACAGACAGGCGCTGGCTGGCTGTGCCTTTCCAAACAGCAGCAACTGAGGCTATTAAAGGTTGCTCTTTCCTTACATACGTACTATTCAAATGCTGATGCACTTAATGTATAATTCAGCCTGTCGCGTCACTTCTATTGCATGAATGTTGCACATTTTATGTTAATCAGTATTTCCTGTTTATAAAGCCTCATAATAAATGTTGCCATTTGTGATTCCTTTTTCAATTCAATGAGAGTTTCCGTTGTTTGTGATGATGTAAGTGATTCCCTGCGAGGCAACATGTGACATGCTAAAAGTTCCTTATGCTATATTGCTATTAGACTTTTAGGCCTTAAAGAGGGCATGTCGCAGCAAAAAAAGGGGGTAGGGGGCGCTATTCTGCTTAAAGCACACTTCTGAAACATCTTTCACCTAGGAAAACTGGAATAGCATTTCAGGAAAGAGGAGGCATCGGCTTGCCAGACTGGGCATCATACTTTCCAATAAAATACATGAAATAACTTTAATCTAATCAGCTAGTCTGATTGCTGCATCTGCTTCACTGTTTAGAGGGGTTAGATATTTAGTAACAAGATAGAATCTATAAATCAATGGTGGAATTAAATCTGTGTGCCTTTTCATGTATATTGTACCTATTCGCCCCCATCACCTCCAACACCCTCAAGAAATACTCATCATTCATATTGGGTACTGTACTGTGCAAAGCCCTTAGGCAGTTAAAGAAAATGTTTAAAGCCGTTTATCTGTGTAGTAGTATATATTTGCTCTTATATTTTCCAAACGTTTACTAATATCTTGTTAGATGACTAGAAAACATTGCTTTGGTTCCCAAAACTCTCTTCAAGGGCACCCTATCCATTCCATTTATTCCCCACTGGCTCACTTAATTAATTAACTTCAATTCAATTTAACTTTATTATCATTGTACAATGCCAGGGCAAGTGTACCATGAAAGGTAAACTGCAAAGGACAGCGCAAGAAAGTGTAGATGATGTAATAAATTAAAATGTCTGACAGAAAGTGCTATGAGATGCCAGGGAGGAGGAAATATTGGAAGTACGTGAAGACTGCAGGGGCAGAGCAGTAGGCAGGGTAGTTGCCTGCTATGGAGCCCTGGGTCCACCCAGTGATGTCAAAGGATCCCCTCCAATTACAAATTTCTTTTATAGGTGAAAGGTTTGTGAAGGTGCTGATATTATGCAGGTTATGTAAACCTGTAACATGCTACTTCTGTATCTCTCATTTTTATGCACACAATCACATTATGGTGAGGAAAAAATGTGGCACAATACTTTAGTGAAACTATGCTGTCGAGACATTTATTTAATGAAAAAATCATGTTTGTGGAATTTGCTAAGTACTGCAGTGCATGATGGGTATGATATTTCATTGTGGATTTGGAAAAGGGGGGGGGGTGCATGGTCCATTTTTGCCCCAGGGCCCACTGTACAGTTGTTCCACCACTGACATTGTGCAATCAAATACCAAACAACGGCATCAATCTAAAGTGTGGTCCTGCAGTAGTAATAATTAGTTAAATAATTTGATGAAATTTGATGCAGTATTGGTTAGTCAACAAGTACATGGGTTTATCGGATGGTGACTACAAATACTGGCATAGCTTTTGAGGAGGTTTAGAAATGGCCAAGCTAACACTTTAACTGCCTAAGACTTTTGCACAGTATTGTATAACATAAGAACACTCTAGAATACTATACTCGATTACTATGCAGTACTAATACAATTATGCTATAACACTATAGTACTTCAGTGTCAAAATAACAGATACACTTTCCCTTGGTCTGACAGTGTAATTGTATTTTAGTTGCCAGGTTTCCTTAAACAAATCACTTCAGTCAAATTGAATTAGGGAATGATTATTTTACCTTGTGCTTAAGTGCTTACATAGAATAAAAACACTCATACATACTGAACAACAAGGAGCAGGTTTGGGGACTCTGCCCCCAGATTTCCAATGTCCTCCGCTCAAGCCTGTTGAGTGACTAACAGCTTAATCCATAGAGCCATAAAGCATCTCTCCTGTGCAGAGCATACTGTGTGGTCACAGTATGGCACTGATTACAGCTCCTAGTTGGAAGACAGAAAAATGGTTTGGTGATTTCTTGCAGATGCCACACACTGAGGGCAGAACAACGGAATGGCACCTCCGGGGGTTGGGTTGATTCTCTCTGTTTCCTCCAAGAACTGCAGTTTCCACTGAAGACTTGCAGTTAGGCTAACTGGCTTCTTTAAATGGGCCATAGTGTGCATATCCCCAGTAATGGATTGTCTTCTTGTGCAGGGTGTACTCCAGCCCGGCTCTGACCAGAGAGTACAAATCCAGACCAAGATTTTGTTTCAGCCAACCAGTTGAGTATAAAAAGTCACAGTCACAAAATACTCAACTGGTTGGCTGAAACAAAATCTTGGTCTGGATTTGTACTATTTGGACCTGAAATCCCCACCTCTGGCTCTGACCAAGGTTAAAAGTTGGATGGATAAAGATGGATAACACTATGAATTCCTGACACTGTATCTTTCACCTGTCTGCTGATGCCTCCTTCATCTTACCCATTTGCTCCTGTGTTTTACACTTATCGTCATGGGAGAAACTGACATAACTAAATAAACTGAATTATTTCATCTGGACATGTTTTTTAAATTCAAATGTCAAAAAGGATTTTTTTATTATTATTCTTTACATTCATTATGTAATTAAGCATTTAGGCCTAATAAGCACAATGCATTCCATATATTCATTAATACATCCGTGAATTTTAAAGGTGTAGACCAACTGTGATTTAATACATATGATGCTGAGGATTTTAACGCCCGAATGTTGCTTTGCTGGGATTATTAATCGCTAATCGAATCGAATTTGAAGACGGATTCTTCCTCTGCCCTAGCACACTGAGACATGCACCCGAAGTACAGTAGGCTAGCTCTGGGATGTACTTAACATTCACTGTGCGTCGTCTTTAAACAGAGCAGCATCTGATGGGAACCGTTGGGAATCATCTCCAAAATCCGCCGTTAAAACCTTAAACATCATTTTCGCAGCAATTTCAGCTTTCGAAGCAATATACTCTTCTGCCAGATTGTACGTTGCAATATAGCGTCTCGTACAGCCGAACTGTATCGATAGGATCTGAGCGAAGAAACGATGGCAAGAATACGGTCGGATCGCGGATCGCAAACGTTAGTGAGGCCGGGGTACCGGTAAGCTCCTGGGACCGGGCTGACATGGCCACACAGACAGGGACAGGTAGGCTGCGTCCGACACGCTTATCGAAGATGCGCCCATTAATCGTACAGAAATGCAGGCCTTCCTCATCTTTCAGGGGTTTTAAATTGAGCAAGTCACAGAAATCCCATAAAAATATGGATTGTACCTTTAATATGATTTGCAAGTATTCCTCATTGGAATACGGAAACGTCCGTTATACATCTCAAGGTTAAGGACTGGGGAAATTAATTTTCTGAAATATATGTGTGTGTGTGTATATATATATATATATTTGCAATCTGCTCTTATTACACTTTTAAGATACTGTAACGGTTGCGATATTTAACGTTTCTATACTCACATTTATAAAGTCGCGGTATATATATATATATATATATATATATATATATATATATATATAGAGAGAGAGAGAGAGAGTTAATATTTCACTGTGCGAATTAAGCGTATACTTTTTAAGCACGATTTGACCATATGAACACTGAACGATGGCAATAACGACGGTACACTTCAAACGAAGGCTAAAATTAAATTTGACAGCGGACCGAGGTAGCATAGCCTTAGGATATTAGATTCATTTTAGGAATCTTACATTTCTGAAATGAATTCTCTGAATCAGTTAGCATTATAGTGGCCGATCTAGCTTACCTAAGATCTATATTTATCATATATAGATTTTACTGAATCTTCTCTGTTTTTTGATGTGATAAAACATTAAAAAACATTATATTATAAATATATCATATTATATATTTTCAGAGTTCCGGTGTTGTAGCTGATTCAATTTTAATAGTGTCTTCCAGATGTAGTCAGATCTTCAATAGGCTGTCTTCTAATGGGTGGTGGGAATAACGCACACCAGCCCAGAGATGTCAGCAGAGTCCGAGAAACGGCAGACGCGCCACCGCATCTTCACCCCCCCGCCGGCGCCAGCAGAGCAGAGCCCCACATGGACCAGCGCCGATCGTGACAGTGATCATGAGTCCGACGTGGACATGTTCTGGTAGTCTGAGTTCATGAGAAACAAACGTAGACAGGCGAATATAATTACAGGAGTTATTAAGAGGACTCTATACTTCCTTTTGTATTCTCTAAAAATGTGCCTATTATGCCTTTAGTGTGCATTAATATAATGAGAAAAATAAAACATTTTAATTGCATTTGTTCTAGTATATATATTTTTAAGATGTGTTTATTGATTTTAATTATAATTATTAAAATAATAAGGACAGTTTATCCCTTGTGTTTGTGTGAGAATTGTAGAACAGGATCCGTGATATGCGTGTTCTGCTTGTTATTAATATGTTATTGACATCATCACGTTGTTGCCATGGCAGCTGTCACCGTGTGCAGGACTCCCTGCTGAGCTCCTCCAGTCGCTTCACAGATTACAGAGGGATCCTCAACTGGATCATTATTCTATTGGTGAGTCATTGTCTTGTCTGTCAATGTGCAGCATATCCCCCCCCCCCCCAAAACCAAACACCACGCATAAACCCACAGTCTGTATGGTGCTGTAATAACTGTGCTTTCCCACGTTAAGTTTTCAGCGTTTCATAGAGAATTAGTCACTCTGCCTGAGGTATGACACAAAAGAACTTCTGCATTCTGTTTCCGATTGTGACCCCAGGAACAGTTTTGTTTTTTTTTCTGGGGCTCCACTCAAAAAGGTACTTTAGCCCACCCCACCCCCCTACCACCCACCCACGCAACTCCCTGTCAGATTTTTCAAAAACTATTAGAGTCAGCAGATCATAGCTAGCTTAGCTGGTTAGCAGAACAAACTCCTGAATAAGGAATGTATTTTTTAAATATTTAGTGTAGTGACTATTTGTCATTAACCACAGGGCCTCATGCAAACACACATGGTTTGTGTGGCAGTGAAAGACAACTTACGTTTTCTGGGTGCCGTTTAGGTCATGATACCTAATCCCTGTTGTTTTCTGCAGGTGCTTACTCATGCTCACC